TATAAGAAACAATAAAAAAATATGCAGTTAATTTTATTGCGCGGGGACATCGTCGTTTCAGACAGATACTTAATGCTGACCGCACAAAATTTTTTCCAACGAAAGACTAAGGATTCTTCCATACATTTCTTATACAGTGTTTCTTGCTCTATCATTCAAAAAGGGAATCAAAGAATTACCATTTTCTCAAGTCCAGAAATCACCAAAATAAAAAGTGTCGCGTCGCCATTAGAATGATTTAACCGATATGCTAGAGCTCTCCAAAATACCAGTTTAATGTATCCATATGGATACATCAGACTGAAGAGGGATAATAAGATTACAATATTCACTTCTTCTTCGTTGTGATTTTTTTCTTCGAATTAAACGAACAATATTTGGTATCAAAAATTGATAAAGAATTGTCAATCCATTATAAATAGAAAGTAATTTTGTTATTAAATCGAGAAAACTCGGTCGTAATTTAATTTTATACGAACAAATTGAGGGTTGACAAGAATTATAATAAATCTGATAAGAATAAAAATCATTCCATTTCTCAATAAATAGATTATCAGTTAATGTTTTAATACTTATATCGGTTCTATATTGACTTTTTTCTGAACTATCCAATGGTCGAACGTCGTAATAGAGCTCTGTACGTTGGCTCATCTGTTTTTTAATAACGTCTAGACAAATTTCATTGTAAAAACATGAAATTGATGATGAGAACAATGAATCTGATAAATAACAACCCATAGAAAGATTTTGTATATAAGTGAAAATATTATTTCGACAAAAATACATTGTTCTTTGACATGTGGAATCTGTTTCACATGAACAGTTTTCATAATTTTCTGGTAAATATTTCATTGTAATATCAGAAGGAGGTACATAATCGCTAACACGTCCCAATTGAGGCAATAATCGATTATCAAAAATAATACTTCGAATAATATTCAATTTTATTTTAAAGGAATTTTGTGTTTGTATTTTAAAGTTTTCAATAAATGATTGCATTTCTCTATGAAATTGTTCTTTCGGAATAATTGACGATGTTATATATTCCATATCATATAATCGTGTTAATTCATTCCAGATTGTTTCATTTGATATTCGACAATATTCGGATAAAAGTGGAAAATAAAAATGTGCAAAATTATAAAAATCTCCCATACGGCAACTCTGTCCTCCATTCCATAGAGTTTCCCATTTTTTCCATAAGGGCGAAACAAATATACTTGAACAGATTTGATGATAAGTTGGCTGAAATTGAAGAAATTCAGAATATTTTGTTGAAATATGTGAACATGGACATTGAAGATCATGGAAAGAATTATTAGACAACTTTTCATATTGAATTTGTGTTGGGGATTCAATAGATAAAGTTTTCATCTGTTTATCATATAACATATAAAGAGTATAGGAAATTAAAGAAATAATTAATACAATTAGATAAATCCTTGTTGACAGAATTTCATTTCTTTGTTTATGTTCATTCGTTGAATAGCTATCAAAAAGGTTCGCTTTTATTATTAAACTTTTCATCAGTTTTAACAACGTTAATAAGCGAACTTTTATTGAAACTAAAAATAGACAGAAAATTGACTAAAAACCCAATAGTGTCAAACTCGAAAATTGAATTCAGATATTCAGCTATTCAATCAAAGACAACCTCCCAAACCACACTCTATGAAAACCCTTCCCTACATCCTCACTAACGAGGGAACATATTTAGGTGTTCAGGCAGTTTAGATCCCATCTTTTGCTGGTAAGTAGGCCTCGATGAGGTATGAAAAACCTCAAAAGAATTCATCTCCTCGTCTCTTTGTTTCCGAGTTATGGATGTTCTACTCTATTTTCGCCTTACTGCAACGTATTTCGATAAAACTCTGATGACATATTTTCAACCTAAATTTTTGCTCATAAAAAGGTCTCATTCACACTAGATTGTTCTACAAATATCAGCTCGAAGGAATCGCTCTTTGACGAGATAATGAATTTCCATGACAGATCAGTCTTTTTCAAATGGTTGATATAATACTGGATATTTTAAAACTCGTTTATCTGGAGGAGATATTGGTGCAAGCTGATATTTGTAAAACAATCTGATGCGAATGAGACTTTTTTATGGGCAAAATTTCAGGTCGAAAATGCGTCATCGGAATGTTATCGAAATACCTTGTAGTAAGGCGAAAATAGAGTAGATCAACCATAGCTCGGGAACAAAGGCACGAGGAGATGAATTCTTTTGAGGTTTTTCATATCCCATCGAGGCCTATTTAGCACCAAAAGATGAGATCTAAACTGCGTGAACACCTAAATATGTTCCCTCGTAAGCTAGTACCGTAACGGCACCGAGTCTATGGTTTATTTTATTTCAAATTGAATTTTGGAGAAAAAATCACCTCCTTCCCAATCAAACCGGATGAGGTCATGCGGTTGGTGAGTGATGAGCACAAGGAACGATGAGTACACGAAATATAAGCGATGTAAGTTAGGAATACAAACAAAAACTAAGTAAGAATTTCATTATATAATCAATAAATAAGAGATACATGGGAGAGAACAATTTTTTCAGGGACAACTATAGAACAATGTTATGCACTATTGAGTCGACTTGAGTATCAATATTTGAATGAAGAACGGAAATTAAATTTAATGAACGTATTTTGAAATGCTCTTTTGTCTCCTCAGTTTTCGACAGTTGACCAGCTTTAACTAGTAGAATATCAGTATGGGTATTACTTTCTTTATCAATTAACTACTCCAGAAGCATCCATAAAGTTGGATGTTCATATGAGAGTGTTGAGGGCATGAGTGTGGATCAAGGCGGGTGACAATTTTTGATTGGAATCGATAGAGCTCATCGATTTGTATCTGGGAAAAGTGTTGGAATAGCAGCTGGAAGTGAAGAAACGAATCCTTGCGCATTTTTCTGAAATTTTGATGTTTTTTATGGGTAAGGAAGGATATCTCGCGGAATTTTTTTTCGAAATAGAGAGAGCTCACCGAGTTCCACCTGGAACAAATATGATTAGAGTTGGAATACACTCGCGTGCGCATTCGTTCAAGAAAAGGTCGAATCCATGTCCGAGATATCTTACACCTTCTCTTCGTCTATCTTGAACGTAAGAGTAACTCTTATAATTCAGAAATCGTTTTCTTTTTGTTGTGCCATACTCAAGAGAAGTCAAAGAATAATATGAAAAAACGTTGTCTTTTTCCTTTTATACAGAATTGTTTGTCTTTTTTCCGAGATATTAGGCTATTACTTATAATTGGGTTAAATCAATTTGTTATCTGATTAAAGCTGAAAGATAATCCTATTAAGGTAATATCAATTTACTCTTGCATAAAGTTAGACATATCTAATTAATGTGCTCAATGAAAATTGAGCTTAACTTTCCTGTGCTCATTGTTACTTGTGCACTTCGTTCTGGTTCCCCAATGTGAAATTGGGCTTTTAATTTTAAAAAATCGCTTTTTTTTACTGTTTTTACCGGCACCATCAATATAAAAATCAAACAAAATTTCTGCCGGCTGGTACCGGTTACAACTCTGCTCGTATTAGTTCTAATATATTCGATAGCGATTGTTAACTTACTTGTAGGAGTATCTGTTGGTAGTTCTGGTGCTTTTTTCTTTCGAAAAAATCTCAGAAGATATAAAATAATCCATGGAAGGCTTAATTTTAAACCACCAAATAAACTAATAGTTGTTGTAAAAATATAAACAAAACTATTTCTTTGTTCATCGGAATATTGACAATATAAAATTTGACAATTACTAAAATATTTTTCATAAGATTGAATAATATTCCAATTTTTTACAAATAATTTTTTCGTTAATTCGTAAATTGTCCGGTTTTTTGTTGAGAAATCTTTTTTCAACCTTGAAAAATTTCCTTTCGAAAAGGAATTTTTCATATAGAAACCGATTTCATCTAAACATAATTGGTCAAATAAACATTCTAATGTCGAATGCATCAATGATTGTATTGGTAAACCACCTGCAAACATTCCAGGTACCCTGAAAATTGGTATATGCTCTAGATCCATTCCATTTTCGTTACCACATTCTGAATAATCATAATAATTTGTAAAATAATAGATACCTTCAGATAAAACATAGTCAGCACTACATACTAATGTTTTTGGCCCAGTTTCTGTTTTGTAGCAAATAGCTACATAGTATGCATCATTGTTGTTGACTATTGGAACATAGCGCGTTTCTACCGCTGTTATTAGTAGATTTGCACATGTTACTTCTTGAATTAATTTGATTAATTTTTGAAAGGAAGACATTGTTGCTTTTTGAAATGATTCAACAGAATAATTGACTTGAGCATTGAATTCATCTTGTGAAATAATTTCATTTGAAATCAAATAATTGGAATAAAATTCTTCTAGATTATTTTCAATTGTTCGTTGTGATTGCTGACATAAAGTTCGAAGAAGTTGAAATTTAAATGGTGCACTACGACGAAAATCAAGTGGATGATAAAATCCTAAACGTTCTTCGAACAAATAATCAATCCATTTTTGTGTAACAAAATCCGATGAACAAATTTCATTATATTCTAATTTGATATCAATGAATCGTTTATATGCTATGGATAACTCTTGACATGGACATTTTAAACTAACAGAATATTGCAATTCTAAGCGTTCGTATTGCTTTTGAGTCGGTTTAGAAATTGTAAAATCATTTGCTTGGGCTGTTAATGATGCGTATGAAATGTATAGTAATAATACAAGGACAAGAAGAATTATATAGATTTTAGTTGATAGAATTTCATTTCTTTTTTCATGTTCATCACTAGTTCCATTTTCGTATAAATTTAATTTTACTAGATATTGATAAACAATTCGTAATCGGTCGATCGCCATTATGTCATCTAGATAACGAAAAAGTTCGTTATGGAACTTTAAATGAATAATGTATCACTAGATTTTCTTTTATTGAGATATCATTTCACCGTTTTACTTTGTGCAATATACCAAAATACAAAGCTCACTTCATTCCTCTCTCTGATGAGCCAGCCATCAGTTGCACTCTCTTTCGTCTATATACATTAATTTCGTTTACTCTCGGTTCAAACAAAGAACCTTTTCTTTCTCTGTCCCGTGACTGCAATCAATTTCAACCAAGATCCACCAGGTCTTTTCTACGCATACAAAAGCTGGTTCTTGGCCAAGTTTATGCCTCCAAAGGCAGGACGTGGGTACTCAAGCGCAAGAAAACAACACCACAGTCTAGACAATTGTCAACGGTAGTCATCAATCGCGCCCATTGTTTCCACACCACAAAACACCTGACTAGTAAAAAACACCATCCAACCAAAATTCACTATCGCCCTCCTCACCCTCACCCTTGAAAACTCAAATTTACACAAGCTGCAGCTTAACGACATAATCAAGCAGCACATGAGGGATATCAAGCTGAACGACAATCAACTCAGCCGCACAGGAACTTTCACGCTATATCCATACGACGTGAAGTCCTTCAACTGGCTATTGAACGACTTACAAGCTATCCTCAACACAAATAATCAGGCTACCGCTAACGAGGGAACTTTCCCAGGTGTTCAAGCTCTTTAGCTCCCGTCTTTTGGCGCTTAGTAGACCTCTATGAGGTATAAAAAATCCCAAGAGGATTCGTGTGCTCGTACCTTTTTTCCCGAGATATCGAATTCTCAAGATCTATACGAAAATGGATCGAAATGAAAAGCTTGAGTTTTTGAAAAACAGCAGAGCATTCAGGTGAATCTTTTAAAGCTTTGCGTACTACTCGTGCAACTTGTCGTGGTTTCAGAGTTAGATCAAATACTATCGGTACCACTTCTATGAGCTGTTCATCTGATTATAAAACAACCAGAACTCATCATTTCATACCTGTTATCATGATATATCAGCGAAAAAGCTTGAAGAACGCAAATGATACACTGTCGATTATCTGTTCGTTCTGCTCACTAATGTACAAACATGGTTGACTGATAAACATACCATGCTCGCATTCTTAGTGTCCGTTTCTCTATTTACTTTCTCCTCTTGTTCTCGCTTTCATGTCGGACTCTTGTCACGCGGTCGTTTTACTCTGCATTCGGTTGTATACGATATACAAGTGACATACAAGCAAGCATCCGATATTACATCTCACGTCTCTTTCAAAATGATCAACCCAGTAAATGTCGTGAAGATTTTCACTGATCGAGCATCAAATTTATTGACTTCTATAGTGTTGAATAACACGACCGTCCCCACTACTATTCCCAGGTCGATCATTCCGACGACTACTGGATCCGTTGAAACCTGAGTCGGTTCCGGTACAGCTCTTCTCGATTCCGACACAGTTTTCGCCGATTCCAGCAAGTTCCGGCAAGGAAATGGCCGGAGAACGAACGTAACCGGCCGAAACTGACCGTACCATAATAACCTGGGTATCACAAATCGTGAATGTGAAGTAGCTAATCTGCTTTGTGGTGTGCTAGAATCGATTACTAGCAGTGATTCTCACACCTTCAAAGTTGAAACAACTCCCGATCATGAGTTAGACGATGACGAATTGATCAGTGACGTCGATTACAGAGATACAGCTGAAGAAACATGGGATCCCGACTGGAAAACGAAAGAGACGGTGGGAGACAGTGAAAAATCACTTCCGACGTATTCCCCACCAAAACTATCTTGCTCGCTTTCGCCGTTATCTTGAGAAACATGCAACGAAGAAACAAAAGCCCTAGAAAATTGATGATCATGTATTCGATATGTTCGAACAAGCTCGAGAGAAAGCTCTACTAGTGCACGATATTGATATCCGTCGGTGGGGCCTTAAAAAGGCTATGGATGAATCTTTACATAATTTTGTCGCATCAAATCATTGGCTATGCCCTTTTAAACACAAACACAACATTATCTCGCGCAAAATAACAAAGGTGAGAGATGTATGATAATTTTTTATGAATTTGTGGTAGGCAGCTTTCTCTTATAAAACCAGACGAACATGAAAAAAAAAGACTTTTACGAGCTTAAGATTTGTCAGTCTTTGAGGACCATTAGTTTCTACACAATTCTTTGAAATCAAATATACTGAAGTTATTTGTTCCCTGTAGATTATGACGAAGCGCTACACAGAAGATAAATAGATGATTAGAACTTCGGCCGATCAGTTCGTAGCTGATATTCGCAAACGTTTGCCCCACTATGAAGCCAGCGAAGTTATTAACACAGATCAAAGTGGAATCCAGTTCGAGTTACAGTCTACTCGAACATTAAGCCACAAAGGGGAGAAAGTTACAGTTGGATCTGTACGCTCTATAAATGCCACCACTCATAGTTATACTGTACAGCTAGCAATCACACTCGACGGTCATCTTCTTTCGCCGCTTTACTTCTCCTTGAAGGAGCCCAAAGAACCCATGAACGAGAATATCCGCTTGCATCATTTCAAGGCGTCGAATGCGGTGATCATCTGCAGTAGTTCTGGAAAGCTCACAACATCTATGGTTGAGTACTGGCGCGATCATGTGCTCCTGTCATCACTAGAAAAACATCAGAAGTTTCCACTCATCTCGGACTGTTGGGGTGAACAGAATGATGGAAAGGGATTATACGATCATATCCCCGGGTGCACAAGGCTTGAAATACCAAAGAAAACGACGGATTTGTCGCCGATTATACGATCGCGGGCTGCTCGATGAGCTTGACGTCAACATGAGCGAACGAAATAACATTATACATCTCATGTCTCTGACGCATAACCAACTCTCGTCCGAAGTTTTTCGTCCAATGATTCGATACGCTTGGTACGCCAGTGGCTACACAGATAATCATCCTGGGTCCTTCAAAACTGTGGCTGAAGTCTGTTTTTCCTTTGACGCGACGATATGTGCTACGTCTTCATGCGATGTAGCTCCTTTCATCTGCTGTAGCTGGTGCGATAAGCCACTATGTTTCAATCACTTTTTTCTGAAGTATCATTTTCATTGATTCACTTTTGTGCGAACTTTTCTAGTATGACATGATACCAGGTACGAAATGAAGAGTTCTGGGTGTTTTATAATCAGATGAACAGCTCATAGAAGTGGTACCGATAGTATTTGATCTAACTCTGAAACCACGACAAGTTGCACGAGTAGTACGCAAAGCTTTAAAAGATTCAC